GTTGAATTTTATAGAAAATTCAACGGTTTAGATTTTAAGAGAAAACTTTGTCCGTAACTATTATTATTGAAATAGATATTGAGAAAATAGTGAGAGACCAGTGGCTTAGCCAGGTTAATCACTATTAGTCAATTTACCTATGGATTTATTTAAAATTCTACCAATTATCCAATAAGGAAAAATGTTAATAGATATTGATATAGAAATATTCAACGTTCTCTTATTGTAATAGATGGTATCTTCTTCTCATATAACCAAATAATCTAACAAGATCAATTGACGATATCTTTCTATTAAACCGATGTTAACATTGATCAGAATTCAATGGGTTTTTTTTCTTTTTGTTAATATCGTTGGTATTAGAGTTAAACTCGTTAATGGTTCGAATTGTTATTATTTATTGATATTGACATAATATATTGAAATATTTTAAAGGTCAAGAGTATATTTGTCAAAGGGTAGAACAAAAAAAAGGAAAGAAACTCGCCTCTTTCTTCAGAGTAACGAACTTTTATTCAGTAAACATAGATTTTTGTGATGGAAATCAGTTTTTAAAAAATCTACCCAAATTCATATTTATTTATTGATTGATTTCTTTCTACTGATTATAATAATTGAGGTACAAAACTAGTCACTCTTCTCTAACAGATGGTATGACGAGTAAAATATTAAAATTTGTTGATTAGACCAGTATAAGAGGATTATTTATTCTAATCTATCTGTTAGAATATAATTTAAAGATTTTAAAAAATATATTCTAGATAAAACTAATCTTTAATTAAAATAAATTTCAAATAAAATATTTTTATTTTTGAGTAAGATAATTAATATGTTATCTTATGTAATAAAGAAAATGATGATTGACTATCTATCTTGATAAAACAATTTTTGAAGATTTTTTTCCTTCATCAGCCATGTTTTGTTCTTCTATCGATTCTTTATCTCTTTTATCATGATCAACTAACTAGAATAGATAAAAATAAATTTATTTCAATTATTATTTTCGTATTTTTCAAATAAACTTCATGATAAATAGTCTCATTTTATTTAGAATCACATGCTCCTCCTGGAAGAATATCAACATGAACATGTTAAAAAAAAGAAACGAAACGATTTTGTTTAAATAAAAAAAGAAATACTTTAACAGTTTGTCCAGCATATTGTCGATCTTGTATAGCAAATAGTTAATGATTTAGCTTGATAATATTCTTCGATTTTTCTTCGAATTAATTCTGTAGATTGAAATAAATCATTTATTTATTCACGATTTAATTAAGAAAATCGTTCAACACAACGAAATGGTGATACAATTACATCTATATGGAATTTTAAACAATTTAAATATAAAACTAACGTCCAGGTACAACCGCTTTTTTATTGACCCCAACCAATTTTTTCTTCATTTTTATCATCAATTGGTACTAAACATTTTTTTTTTCTATAAAAAAATTTTTCTAATCAATAATAGTTGTTGGTGACATTAATTGATATAAATGACGTCGACGATGTTGAATAAAAGGGATTTTTTTCTCTAACTTGTTCAATATATCGAAGATGAATATCAATTGTCAGAACTAATCGAGAATATAAATTCATATATAAAATAACTCTTCCCCATCGATCAACAACATATTTAGTAAATAATAAATAAATAAACAAACTAAACAATATCCATAAGATTGACGTTTTCTATTCTGAGAAGCAACTTGAACAGCAGCCACAACAAAACATTCATTTTCAATTGGTCGAGCACGAACTAAAATCTATATTTAACATTTTTTAACTTCGTTTTATCAATATATTAAATTTAAAAACAAAAATCTATTGAAGAATAGAAGAATATATTTTTATTCTCTACAAACGGATATCGAATGACTCGAACTTTTTTTCTTTTTCAATTAATTAAATAAATTAAGTTTAACTTTATATTGAGACTCAATATATCCATTAGACCATATTGACCAACGTTTTGCCTCGTTAAATCTAACTGAATATTTATTTATTAAAGATTTTATTCGATTTATAATTAAATCTTTCTTCTTATCTTTCACAATAACTATCAACGATAATAACAAGCACATTTTTTTACAAATATTCGATCAATTATAATCATATTTAACATATCTCAGATAAAAAAAAAAAAAACACGAAAAAGATTCTTTTTATGAAAATTTGAATATTTTATAAAATATTCTATAAGAATAAATACTCTCGAAAAGCGTTACAATTCTTTGACAAGTTTCAGTTGGTGCCTAAATCGAGTTGATTGATTCCTATTAAAAAGGGTTATTTATTTAATTATAGTTCCCGATGTTTGATTGTGCTAATCAGGAGGACATTATCTTCATCAAGATGATTGAGTAGAAAATTGAAATCTCTATTACATAATAAATGATCGATCTTTCCACCAATCAATCTATATCGATTTTATCTTTTTTTTCATCTTGTTATTACATTATGTATTTCAACTACTCAACAGTTTCATGACGATTAAATCTCAACTCTACAAGTGATTATTAGATTTATTTTAAAAATAAAAGGCCAAGACCTTCGAAAAGTGATTATATCAATGACTGATTATCGGATATATAATCTCTACAAATTGTTAAACAATTACGAAAGGTGATTAACGAACCTAGAGTTAGACGATGGGAATATTTATAGAGAATAACAACTAGAAGTTATTATAAAAGACTACTGGTAGATCGAATATAATATTAATAATAACTCTTATTCGAAAGAGTAAAAAATAAGTTGATTTGGAATAATATCCGAAATGAAAAAAAAAGAAGCTAAGTGACGGGTTATTTCCAAGAGGAGAATCATTCGTGTGGTTGACGACGATCTTCATTTCGATGTTGATCATCTTATTATTGATCCAAACCTTGATGACAAATATAAACAACAAAGAATATCATTTCTATATTCGATACGAAACTCGTTAAGAAAAAAAACGATCAAGAATATTTTTTGTTTTCAATGATAGAAAACATTTTGCAATTGGATTATATATTCAATTATCGAAATAATCATATTTATATTCGATGTCGTCAACAACTAAAATAAAGAGGAGAATTTTAAAAAAATATTTATCATATTAATTATATTCAATTTATTTTTTCACATCAACAAACTAAAGATGAATTCCTATTAGATAATCATTTTATCTATCAACAAGACAAGCCAAGACCGCATATAGATTTCTATTGACTAGTATAGATAAAGAACAACGTTTACTCAATTGATTGATCAAAGTAAATTAGTATAGAATAGTCTGCATCTCAACATTTTCAATAATTATGTCTCAAATCCTATTGGTTAGAATATCTATTGAGATAAAGCCAAAAAGTAACACCTATTAATTAATGAAATAAGATAAGGTATTATTTGTATACCAAAGAATCGTCTCATACCTACCGTCAAAAATCGATAAAATTGAATTTAATCAATTTTAAAAAGAATATATATTGATAAAATAAGATTTTTTGTGCATATTACCGAGATAGGATCAATTTCTCACTACTGACATTCCCAATTGACTTGTGACAATTGGTGAAACTTTTCTAATTTAATTTTAACATTATCTTTTAATTAAATAGGCTATCAGTAGACTCTTGACAATTTATTTATTAATTACACAACTTTTACCAACACGAAATTGGCCGTTGTCAATACTCTAAGGATAAGAATTCTTCGATTGTTTATTGCTTTTCCTCTAGAATTATGTCACCGGAAGTGAATCCGATGTAGGGTCTTTGTCATGCAGGATGTTGGATGGTAGTGTATCCATTCGAATTACAAATATGTGCACATAAATTCCCTGATTGACACTGAAAAGATTTCAATCTGTCTTTGATGGTATTCACTTTTCATATGTCTACTCATAGAGGTATTTAACTCAACCTAAATTTTAACCGAATCATAACTTAGAATCGTTGGGTTTCGCATGTTGAATTATTTAGTGTTTCCAGTTGATATGCTTTCCTAGCAGTAGGTCAATTACTCATTATCGAAACATTCATCAATTTAAAAACAAAATTTTCGAAAGTCCGATTTTGTAAAGATGATTAACTACCAGGTTTACGAGTTAAATACAAACTTTTCTCCATTGACAATAATTGCCTTTTTATGGGATTTATTTCCCTCAGGAAGAGCAAACGTTTGGGTAAGTGTCGAAAATGATTACTAAAAAATGAGTATTTTCCTTAAAGAGTATTAACTATGTTGTGTTTTATGATATATATTCATTTTAAATAAACTCTATCAGATTCTATAAAGGTTAAGAGCAAAGTCCGACCATTTATTATGTAAGATCTATTATTTTCATAAAAAATATTAGAAAATAAAACCAATTCCTAGTTTATCACGGATAGATCCTCTCGAAAAGTGAAAAAGGCAATTTTTTCGATCTAAGAAATTTGAAATATAATTCTGTTTGAATAGAGGGCAATATCATCGAGGAAAGAATTCTATAGAAAATGAACTATTTTACAGGATCTCTATCAGTCTTTGTTTCTCACAGATCAATCGTTAGGTAAGGTATAAACACTGTTTTGTTTTCTATTATTCAGTGTGAAAATATAATTAATTGGGTCTTTGATAAGATAAATCTCTGGTAAGGAAATAAGCTAATCAATAGGTGGATAAAATTTGATTTTGTTGATAATTTATATCTCTATTGAAAAAACTTATCGAAAATAAAATATTCTATTGAAAGAAAAATTTCAATTGTTGTTATCGGTTATGGAAAAAAAAGATTTTCAAAAGAAATTTAATAAAATTATATTCTCAATAATCATAGGTTATCTTCTCTCAAACACTGAAATGAATTTTATATTAAATAAAACAAAATCGAATTATCTAAATAAATAAAAAATTCGTTTTTCTAAGATAATTTATTATTTATCTGAATAAATAACCTCCCAATCAGCTTCTCCTCTATGTTTACTAAATGCACTAGGATAAGTAAGAATTTGTGTACCATTTTTATTAGATCCTCTTTATAATCGAGCTAATTCAACAAAACGAAGATGATAACACTAAATTAAAATAATAGAATAGAATAGAATATTAATTAAATAAAATACAATTCCAAGAGGAATTCTTCCAGCTGGTGTTTCAATTGGATTAGGAATTGATGAATCAGGTTGTGTAAAATCTGACTCTCGAATAACTAGATAAGCAGGTTGAGCATAAAATAAATCTATTTTAGAATATCGACCAACAATATTACCTTTATCTATTATTATTAAATCACTATTTAATAGACGAGTGTTCATCACCTGACTTAAATAAGATTTTTTTCAATAAATTAATTAATAAATAAATAAAAAATCGAAAAGGGACTCGTTGATGAAAACCATCTAATGAAATCCATAATTGATGTTGTTTTGCTAAATTGTCTATATCGATTTATAATTCGACCACAAATTGGTTCAAC